CGCCTGGGTTCGAGGAACGTTCGAACCCAGGACGCCTGGGTTCCATGGAACCCAGGGGACGCCTGGGTTCGTTCGAACCCAGGTGTCTTGGGTTCCATGGAACCCAGGGGACGCCTGGGTTCGAGGAGCCCAGGACCCCTGGGTTCGAGGAGCCCAGGACCCCTGGGTTCGAGGAGCCGGGGACGCCTGGGTTCGAGGAGCCCAGGACCCCTGGGTTCGAGGAACCCAGGACGCCTGGGTTCGTTCGAACCCAGGCGTGCTGGGTTCGATGGAACCCAGGCGTGCTGGGTTCCTTCGAACCCAGTAGGGGAGGGGAGGGGAAGGAGAAAAGGAAAGAGAAGGAGAAAAAGAAAGGAAAGGAAAGAAAAAAAAAAATTTATTAAATTATATTTTTAGTGCAAATCACAATATTTTTATAATTAAAAATGCCACATCACACATTTTATTTCCAAGTAATATTTAATATTAATAAAAATTGAATTTGTTAACGGGAAATGTTGCCATGTCAGCACTTAACTGACGGAAGGACGAAATTGGTTCCAAAAATTGAAGTTCAAGGATTTTTTTAGTACTTTTTGAAGTTCGAGGGTAGTTTTAGTCCAAAAATGAAAGTTGAGGGACTGAATCGGGGATATAACCTTTTCACGCCACTGTTATTTTTAAATGAGTTGTAGACTTGTAGTAAACTTAAAAACTGTCGGTTTCTTAATTTCTTCTAAGAATTGCGCAAGCATCTCACGATCACATCATTTCTATTTAGAAGTCTTCGAGAGGAAGGAATTCAGAGAGAGCGAAGTCTAAAATGAAAAACTTGCGCTGTTACTGCCGCGCCGGGCGTCATTGACCATCAAATAAAATACGATTTATGAGTTTGATTTTGACACTTTAACTACATTCTTCTATCAGAAAACGAGTATGGACAAATTAAATTTAGATGAATGTTAATTTTTAAATTAAAATTTTAATTTTTAAATGTAAATTAAGATTTTAATTTATTTTAAAGGTTAAAACAAATATACAATAACCTTTTAAATTAGAGTTTTTTTTATAAAAAACTCTTTTTTCTTTTTGAAGTTGACACATTTAATTATTTAGTAAATTTTTAAATCATAACATTTTTGTATAATCATAAAATATTATTTACTAAACTCATTTAATTTTATGTGCAGCCGTACAAAAACTTTTAAGTATAGGATACTTTAGAAATG